AAGTGTACCTCTGGTGCAAATTACTGACCTCTGTCATCATTTTAAGTGGGGGAACTTGCACAATCGGTGGCTGACTAAATACTTTTTTGCCCCACTGTATCCTAAAATAAGAAAAAGTACAATTTAAACAGCATGTCTCAGTGTTTATACATGATAAAAAAAAACATGTTGCTCTAGTAAATGAATGAAATGTGTCAGCATGACTTCTTAGGTTTAAATTGTAAGACATGAATGTGCAAAATTTTGGACACCGGGCCTCATGTTTGCGATCCCTGCCTCAGAACATATCAACAAAGATGTGGTTTGATCTCCATTCGAAGAGGCAGAGACCTTCTGATGCAAACCCATTCATGTTGTTCTCTAAGCCTGTTCAGCTTCGATCTACATGAATGTTTCTCTGATGTCTGCCGTCTTGCCAGTTTACCGTCTCCACTCTAATATATTCACTGCTATTTGTTGCCGTGCTATTCAAAGATGTGCAGCAAGGTCATATTTATTTCTTCAACTAAGCTCACTTTGGAGCATTGACTTTCTTAGACTTAATTTACAAATCACCCAATATTAATTTACTAAAGGTTTACTGAATGATATCAGGACTTAGGTACATGTGTATTTTTGTATTCTTTTAACTTTAAATATTTATCAGAATTAGACACTTGCTTGGTTTACAGCAATCACTGATAACTTTCCTCCTTTTCTTTCAAACTCATTTTATACAGAACATCATTAAAAATGAAGAAAGTGACTGATAAATGCATCAGTTAGTTTCACACAATTAGATCAGGGTTATTCGATGTCAGTGTATCGAATTCCTCCCGTCTGACAATCTTGGATTTGCCTGAAAAAAACAAAAGCTGCACTTATCGGGAATTATGCAAAATTTCAAGTCTCTACTGTGGTTAGTTTTCTACAGGCAGGGCTGTTTTTAGATGATTTTCTAGCATCATTTTCAGAGGGCCCACTTGAAATCCCATTATCTAAAGTCCTTGAGCTTAACTTTTTTAGGATAAATATCTCACAGTATTGTTCTGAGAAAGCAGATTCTCAGCAGCTAACACAGATTGGCCCTAAAATGTTTCAATATATGTGATCACTGACAGCAGATTTGGAAACCTGCAGATACCACACTTATGTAGGTAAATCACACATAACCTTTAACTTATAAAGTGGAGTCAAAATGCACACAGTAGTGTAAGTTAGTGTTTACCTCTGTTTGTCTACACGGAGTTAAGAAAGTAGGTTTCTTACATGTGTAGTTTTTTTGAGGGTTTTTTTTTTTAACTCATGCTCTTCCAGACTAAACTTTGCTCACAGCTGCAGAGGTCAGAGCCTGTTAAATAAACACACCTGGGCTCCGCTACCATGTTCAAGGCCAATACCAGGTTCTAGAGAAGCTTATCATAACTTTTTAACATGTATTCAGGGCCTCGTTGTACCGGTGTTTTCACAAACAGACATCATTTCAGTTTTCACAATTTTTATGAGCCTTAGTTATGTCTAATGATCAGGCTTGATTGCCCTGTGTCCAACAGCAGCAGTAATTATAATGGGGACAAAGGAGGAAGTACACAAAGTATTCTCAGTGCTTCACTTGTTCCACATTTTTTCATGTTACAGCCTTATTCCAAAATGGATTAAATTCCTTTTTCACCTCAAAATTCCACACACACTACCAAATAATGACAACGTAAAAAGAAAACAGCTTGAAATTCTTGAAGTTTTTGTGTATATCACACAAATATATTGCTAATTAGTGAAAGCATTATTTTAAAAAATAACTAGCATTTAATAGAATCTGATATGATTGCTATTTTTAACACTGTAATATATTATATGTTTATGCCAACATATACTGCGATTTATCATGGGGGTTTTTTTCCAACTGCAAATGATTCCCCTCAAAGTTACATTTTGTCAGTATCTGTTTTATCTAATAAGATAAAATTATCTCATGTCAAGTCTTTATTTTGCTCACCAACCTTTTTAACTAAAAAGTATTGCCCACAGACAGAGTCAGAGCCATCACTCTGAGATTGAATGGGTCAAGTTGGCAAATACATCCAACCTGTTTGTGATAATACAGTAACTAACTGTGAGAAATTATTTAAGATCATAAATCTGTTTATGCTTGAAACTAGGGCTGGGCGATATGGCCTAAAATCCGTATCACAGTATAATCTGAAGCATGTGCGGTAACGATATATATCGCGATATATTCTTTTCCTCTGTATACCGTGTTTTCCGCACTATAAGGTGCGCTTAAAATCCCTTAATTGTCTCAAAAATCGACAGTGCACCTTATAATCTGCTTTATCTATGAATTCTGGTTGTGATTACTGACCTCGAAACCAATTTTATGTGGTACAAGCGCTCAAAAATCTGTCAAAAATGTTTAGAACGACTTTGGTAAGCTACGAAGCCGCACCACTTGATGGTTTGTGGGAGCATTACAACTACCATAGTCAGGAGCCTTGCAGAGTAATCTGGGTCCAAAACTCCGTCTGCTTCAGGTCCCAAAGTCAAACGAACACTGCGGCATCACTGAGAGTTAAAAACTGTCTAAATTTTTCATCTTTAGTATAATGATCAGTGTTGCTGCTTTACCAAGTGTAACAATTAAGTTTAACATCCAAGCATGAAAACAGAATTTATTAAATTTAACAGTTAGAAGTTAGCTCGCTAGTTTCCACCTAAACATGATATACCATGTCCTGACTGAGAGATTTCTGAAAGAATTTAAACATACAGCTCTGCTATCACTTCCAGCATAAATGAAGACAGAAAACTAAACAACAGTGACTTTTGTAGGGTTACTGAAGTTGGGCTAGCTGGTATATAATGATGTGCTACGTGATCGCTAGTGACACAGCTATGTTAGCATAATATCGTACCCCGCATGCAAATCTTACGTCACTTCCTCTCTTTGCCAACATTGCGACATTCAATATATTTGAATGATACGGTTAGCGCCCAGTTAGCTCCTAGCATTTCTCAACAGCTCTGCCTCCTTTTCGACTGCCCGGGACATTTAAACAATGGATAATCCGTATACAAAGAAATTCATGCTTTTCTCCTCAACAGAGAGTGTCCCCCGATTGAGCAACAGCGCCGTAAAATAAGAAGAATGGCGCCTAATTACAGAGTTAATAATGCAGACTTTGTAATATCTCACGTGTAGATTCATCAGCCAGATGAAGTGTTTACTGACAATTGACAGTGATAGCGCACATCATCATCACTATTCCAACAATCCTCTCCTCACAGACAAGCATAAACACACTCGACTATCGCTAAATCAAATTTAACACACGTTTGTAATGACGCTAATTCAGTTTATAATAGGGTTTATTCGCTCGGTCAGCAGGTGGCGGTATCCTCGTACACTGGGGAGTAAACTGCCATTAAACGAACAGAAGAAGAAGAAAACATCTGCACATGCGCGGTACGGATCGGGTAGACCCGATTTGTACGGTCAGACTTTACACATGCGCAGTAAGGATCGGAGAGTCCTGATCCGTAACTTTCTTTTTATTTTTCGTTTTTGTCTACATTGTACTGAAATGCTTCATTATTGCAAACATTTTAAGATATACTTGTTATTCT